CGCCTGCCTGCGCGCAACAGGTAAGGGCCGGCCCACCCGAGACCGGGCCACCGAGACCGGCCCGCCGCCTGGGGTCCCCGGGTCCTGGGAAGTCCGGATTGCTCGGGTGTCCCGGGCCTCGTACGCGAGCGCGAGACTAACTTGCTGCCGCAAATTAGTAGAAGGGCCTGCTCGCGTGAGTTCTGCGCTCTGAATTTCACCCTCGCGGCCCTCACCGCCTCGCAAACTCGCGTGTGTGCACACACACACACACACGCACAGATGCGCACACTGATTGTGCAAGCAGCCCATCTGCAAAAAGCCAGAAACGCTGTATTTCCACAGTCCGGTGGTTTTTGGGTTTTTTGTTTTTTTTTTTTTTTTTTGGACCTGTTTGCCCTCGGGCAAATGTTTCTGGAACATCTCCGATGGAAAGTATCTCCTTAAATGTGCAGGGTCCTTACCGAGAGAAATGTGGAGAACAAACTCCTGTGAGATCGATCTCTGCAGGGGAAAGAGGTGACAAAGCAAACAGTATTTTACAAATTGAAATGCTAGAATTCACGTAGTGGAATAGTGTAGCTTCTCCGTTCACTGCCCTGTCTTTGAAAAATGCTTCCCCTCTTTAGAAAATACTCTGCATTTCCGAAAGTTGACTTTTAGTGTAAAATCTCTCGAGATTGCCAGATGCAGACCTGAAGCTGTCCACGGTGAAATTTAAAATGTGTCGTTTCTGTCCCACCCTTTAGACCTGCTGCCCGCCTGTGATGGAGAAAGGCCCACTTTGGCATTTTTGCAAGACGTCATGGACATTCTCCTTCGGTATGTGGTGAAGAGTTTCGACAGATCAACCAAAGTCATTGATTTTCATTATCCCAATGAGCTTCTTCAAGAGTATAATTGGGAATTGGCAGATCAACCGCAAAATCTGGAGGAAATTTTGACTCATTGCCAAACAACTCTAAAATATGCTATTAAAACAGGTACTGTCCAATCAAAAATAATAAAGCTTTTTTTTCTTGTATGATTTTTTTTCTATAAGAATGTTTTCTATTTTGTGACTACTGGCATATTCAGAATTAGAAAGTTATTTTCATCATTTAAAATGGTCATTAACAGAACGATTGAAATTAAAAGCACTATCTCTTATTTATGATTAATGAACCCGAAGTTGATAATACCAGGAGCATTATCTTAGTAGAAATAATCAGGCTGTATTTGGTCACGGAGGTTATCCATTGGTGTAGAAGCAACCATTTGTCAGCAGAGGCCAGTAGAAGGGACCCAAAATGGAGAAAGAAAGGGGATATGGAAATGAAAGCTCAAAAGGCAAGATACAGACAAAAGCCAGAATTCTGATGTTGTGCTAATAATTTCCTTGGCATAGAACGGATCAGAAACTGGACTGAATATCCTGTGTAATCCTGAGCTAGAGGTACAGTGTGGCATTGTCTCAAATGGCCAAGACTTCTGACCTGAATGCTGGGTCCTCTCTCTCCCTCTCTCTCTCTCACACACACACACACACACACACACACACTCTCTCTCTCTCTCACACCCACACGCCACAATATAGACTACGTTAGCAATCTAACCATGTTACATAATGATGTGTGTCCTTTAGAGCTATTGTGTGTGCAAGATAAAGAAGGGGGGGCAAATCCGATATTCTTGGGGGCACATTTTTTAAAACCTATTTCGTGGTCTATTGGTTTTTCACAATATTCTGAGTCTGCTCATTTTATACTGCCAGAATAACATTTATTTGGGCGCTTTCCAAGCTTTCTATTTATCTACACAAAGTCAACCATTTATCTACCCAGATCCTGATTACCCTGCTCTTTTCTACATTGTCTCTAATCATTCTGACACTTCGTGGCCCAGCACATCATTAAAGCAATAAAAATGAATATGAATTAATTTCTGAGGAAGAGGGAAGATCTTGTAGATTTGAATTGATCTGTAGCTTTTAAAAGATTTGCTAGCAAATAGAAATGTGAAATCTCATGTGAACATTCATTCTCATGGGAAACATCATATTTTTAATGGCAGTTTTTACTGGTGAATTGTCAGTACGTATTAGTTGGATCCACAACAAATATTTAAGAATTTTACTGTGAGATTTTAGCTTTTTCTTTCTCTTTCACATTGTTTGTATTGACAGTGAAGAAAGGTGTGCAGAGAATAAGATCTGGGAAACTGATTTATCATATTAGTATCCTCTTTGAAAGACTATCGACTGAGAGCCAGGTACACAGGAAAAAAATTAACTTGTTGATTCTGTGGAGTATGATTTTTAAGATTTATGAGAGCTCATCCTCCACGAATGTTCCTGTAGAGTCCATGTGACTGTGTACCTGGCAGTAAAAGATGCTGCTCTCCCTCCACCACCAGGTTTGTAGGTGCAAACCTGAGCGATGCTTTTCATTCATTTTTCTTGAGCTCATTCTTATCTAATACCTCAACATGTCAATTACAAATCAAAAAGAATTACCAAACCAAAAAGAATCCATAGAAGTATTTTGCACCTTCATCCTGGAAAGCTGGCGGTGTTGAGAATGCAGTTGAAAAGATTCCTATGGTGGGAATTGCAAGTCAATGAAAGTAATGTTCTGTCTGTGGATGTTCTGTTTACCACTGGGTGAAGAGGGCCATGTCCTTACTTAGATTTTGCCATAATGCTTGTTAAACTTAGTCAAGTGTTGGCCTAATGCTTTTTATTTAAAGTTCAACTAAAAGTAGGATTTCTAAGCAAAGCATGTCAATATTTTCAATATCTCAATATTGTTTATGACGTGTTTAGTCACTAGCCTTCTCTCTCCAAATAACATTTCAGAAAGTTAACAGCAGGTGCCTTTTCTCTTCAGCTGGCAAGTTTATAGATTTTTATGCTGTCGTATTTGTCAACTAGTACTGTCTGTTGGAGTAACCATCCCTGCTACCACCCTACATCTTTATGATCCCTGGGAGGTTCTTTTATGAAACCCTTCCTATCACCTGCTCTCCAGAGAGTCCTTAACCTGATTTCCACTTGGACGCTACACTCAGAAGTGAGGGGGATTACTGAATAGGAGCTTCCTGATGTACTAGAATTACTTTGTAAAGAAATTCTGGACCAGGAAACTTCAGGGAAAGGCAAGCATGTGAGGGCCAACTGGGCTACCTGATGGTTGCTGTGGCTGGCGATGGGGTGGGTATTAATGTGATCTTAAATCTTTAATCGACAAAGGGAGTTGCAGCCCTGATGGCTACAACTGTTCCTGCGTAGAGATGTCAGTGTGTAAAGAGTAGTCCAGTTACCAGGGCTTCCGGCCCCTCCTTAGCTGAGTGTGAGCATGGAGTCAGAGTCGCAGAGGCTGGCTGTTCCCTCCGGTGGGGTCTGTGGCAGCCTCCACACACCCTTCTGCCTCATTTGCTGGTCTGTAGGGAGTGTTCCAGGGCCCAGACCAGCCCTGATCTCCGGTCTCCAAGTGCTGTCTCTCTGGCTGCCTGGCCACGCGTGGCCAGCCTTCTCCCTTGCCCTGTCGGGGGCTCAGCTCCAGCTGCACCCGCCTTTCCTACAGCCCTGCCTGCGTCTGCGTTTGCCTTTTGCCGACAGCAGTGGGAGGCAGCCTGTGGAGGCCGCTGGAGCAATGTAGCTAGGGGAATGTTTCTGCAAACCCAAAGGGGGCGCTGTTCTGACCTGCCACACTCCCCCTCCATAGTTCCACGCCATTATCGGTGAATAAAAGCTTTGAGGCAGGAGAGATTGAGGTGAAATCGCAAACCTAGGTCAAATCTGTTTGGGTGTGGGGGCAGCAGTTAGCTGCAGACTTGTTTTCACTGTTTACCCAGAGTGCTGATGCCCTGGGGCACAGCACACAGCTTGGAAGTACCGGAGGTTTTCATGCCAGCATTTGCTACAGTCCTTATTGTGTGGTTTTAAGCATCTAGAATATGCGTGAGTGTGTATGTGGGTGGGTTAATGGATAGATTTGCTAATCCTTGTTAATTTCCTCACTTTAAAAAATGGCCTAGGGACAGAAATGAGGGGCACCAGGAGGGGGGAGTTGGCTGTGATTTCAGGGGTGAGCGCTGATGAAATGAGGGACCCATGGGGCAGGAGGAATGGGCGGGCGCTGTCCAGAGGGCACACGGGACTGTTGGCTTTTCCTGAATGGGTAACCAGATAGGGCCGGAAAATGCGGAAGAGATAGGCGGCCAGGGTGTGAGGCCGAAAAGGAGGTGAGGAGACCGTGGGGCAGGGTGGGCAAGATGCAGGCAGACCCTGGCCTCTCAAACGTGCCTCCGCCCAGCCCCTGCTTTCCCATTGCCCACTCCCAGCCACCAGCACGGGCTGATAAGAGCTCTCCAGCCTAGAAGATAAGCTGCGGTGACTTTTGTCCCTGCTTATCCCATGGCCTTCCTTTATCTTGTTCTGCCCTGCTGGTGAGGAGAATGCCGCAGCCCCAGCTCCACACAGAGACCAGTGAGTGGCAGGTACCTTTTATCAGATGCCATTTCCATAATTGTCCATCTTCCAAAAATGTTGTTGCTAAGCAAAGCATAGATTTATTGATAGGCTTCTATCAAGACAGGACAAGGGGACATAATTCCAATGAGACACTCATAATCACGTTTTACACAGCAGCCCCAGGAGTGTGTGAATATCAGCCCATTTCGAGAATTTTAGGAAATCCAGGAGTTAGTAAGATAAGGCTTTCTGGTGGCCCGATCAGACCATTGAATATATTGTCATGTATCTTATTGACAAGACAATAACATTGACAGTGATGAGTTTTACTTTAAATCTCAAATGTGAGGAAGCTCTTTGTTTGTAATCAAATATTCAGAGAGGGACAGATAAGAATTAGCTTTGTGCTGTCCTTAGGCACTCATCGCCTTTTTGAATCCAGGGAAAATCACTCAGCAGAGTGTCCTATTGTCTCATTTTTCCCCTGTCTTTTGTAATCATAAGCCATTTGTCACTGATATTATTATGAATGTTGGTATGCCTGGCAGATGTCACGGATTCCCAGAACAACTCCACAAAGACGGACTTTTAACGGCACGAATGCAAATGAGTGACTTGTCTGAATTGTTTTGGGTTACAGTAGCATTTTAGTTTGCAGATATATTGAAAGCGTGGTAGGATATGATCTACTGTCCTGATCGCAGGCCAAATTGGTTATTTTTATACAACATATTTAAAAGGAGATTTTTAGGTGTGTTTTTTTTTAAAAAAATACTGAAACCCAAAATAGTGTCCGTGATTAAGAGGCAGCGCTCTCTGTGCATGTGGATGTGTTCTTAATGTGTGCTTGGTTTTGACTCTACATTTCCTATCCCTGAATGATTTTTCAAGGTTCTGTGGCTAGAAAAATCATATGTGTGAGAAGCACACATTTTTCATTGCTGTAATCCTGCTTCTGGTGTTCCATTCCGTTCAGGGCATCCTAGATATTTCAACCAGCTCTCCACTGGATTGGATATGGTTGGGTTGGCAGCAGACTGGTTGACATCTACAGCAAACACCAACATGTAAGTAGCTAACTACATCTTTGGATAATCCAGGATAGTTATTAGTAAGATAGCATCGTGTTCACCTCCTATGTGAAAATCTATTTTCATTAAGTAGCTCCCAAAATATTGATACCAACCTCAAAGTTTCATGAGTGTTTACTCTTGTTTAATAGAAAATAGACCTGATATATTTTTGATGACGTTAAGCTATACAAAACTTTTTAAATGCAAAAGAGTCTCTTTTGGCATTTTAGTTTTGTAATGATGTATAAACTGAAGGAGAAATAGAACCAGATATTGCCGTTTACATAGGATTGCCCTGGAGTGCTCTTTGGTGAATATGATAAACCACTGAGCTAATAACTAAAGTTCTTAGCTGTGGGAAACAAGTAATTGTTCTGGAGAATCTTTTAGGGATATCTCTGTTTACAGTCGTTGTCATAACATCTGTGAGCATAAGTTTCGAGAAAGGAAATCATTCTACAAGTGCTGTGATGACAAATCATTTCTCTGAGTCTCACACATAAGCTCTGGCCATTTCTTCACTTCAGGTTCACCTACGAGATTGCACCAGTGTTTGTGCTTCTGGAATATGTCACACTGAAGAAGATGAGAGAAATCGTCGGCTGGCCAGGAGGCTCTGGCGACGGGATCTTTTCTCCTGGTACAATGATACTTCAGCTTTTCTCTGTGTTTTTATGCGTATGATACGCCTAGTTAAGAACCCAAGAAAATTAAGTACCTAGTCCATATTGCAGATTAGTTCATACAGGCTGCGTATTGATCAAAGGATGCACGTAGCTAAGGGTAGGTGACCACCACTGTGTCCCCACTCTAGCCTTGGGTCCTAGAAGAGCACAGACAAATGGTATTTACTGACGGCTTCTGTGATCCTGCACACAAGGGAATAAAGGTTCCTAATAAGGGATTCACTCTGATATTCTCCCCAGAATTAGTAAAAGGAAAGGCATAGCCTCGTTTAATAAAACATCCGCTGTGTAAGCTTATGTTGCAAGCCAGACCTACCCCACAGGAACGCACGCATCACTCTGGTCTATGAAGTAACAAAGCTGCTTTACACTGGCTTCAGCCAGGGCAGAGAGCACCTGGGAGATAATTTCCTAGAGCTAAAAAGGGAATAATGATTCCTTCAAGAGATTCTTATTCCTTCCTTCTTTATTATTTCATTTTATCTTTTCCATCTTGCCTTTTACTAGCAGCCATTCCATTCTAAGCTCCATTATTTACACCTCTCCGAGCCCAGAGAATCAAGCTGCAACAAGAAGCTGTGCCCTTGGTTCATGGCTGTGACCTCGGCTTGGTGCAGAGGAGGAATGGGGGTCTGGCAAGCAGTGGGGAGAGAGTCACTGACCCGGAAGGTGCCGAGTGCAGACCGCCACCTAATCAGCCACAGGAAAGGGGGTCGTCAGCGTGCCGAGAGCCCGCTGGACAGGCCAGAGCCACACCTGCCACTGTGCTAGTAAATCTACAAAGCCAAGGGGACGGGGAGAGAGGAGGAGAAGGAAAATGAAAGGAGGAATGAGCAAGGAGCATTTGCTTCAAATCCAGGTGTACATTAAGCATGCTTGCCTGCAAGCTCTGATCTGCGATTTTCTTCTCTGATTTTTAAAATGCATAGCACATTTTTTTCAGGTACTAAAGGAAAAGGTGTTAAACAGAAAGGAAAATTAGCTTTTTTTTTTTTCAAAAGTCATTGAATACCAGCTCTGATGAATTTTAAGCTGGCTTCTATTTTATAAGGAATTTAGTACCTAGTTTTCCTTTGGACTGTTTTTAGCTTAACACCTGCCACTGTGCTAGTAAATCTACAAAGCCAAGGGGACGGGGAGAGAGGAGGAGAAGGAAAATGAAAGGAGGAATGAGCAAGGAGCATTTGCTTCAAATCCAGGTGTACATTAAGCATGCTTGCCTGCAAGCTCTGATCTGCGATTTTCTTCTCTGATTTTTAAAATGCATAGCACATTTTTTTCAGGTACTAAAGGAAAAGGTGTTAAACAGAAAGGAAAATTAGCTTTTTTTTTTTTCAAAAGTCATTGAATACCAGCTCTGATGAATTTTAAGCTGGCTTCTATTTTATAAGGAATTTAGTACCTAGTTTTCCTTTGGACTGTTTTTAGCTTTGCCATCACTACTTGATGGATGCTTTGAAGGACTGTTTGTGAGGAACGAGGTAAGGCTGGGGCTTCAACATCGCTTCCACCTTTCCCACCAGCCCTCTACGGCTGGTTGTGAGAACGAGCTGCCCCTGAGATGCTCCACCCTCATCCAGCCTCTAGTTTAATAGTTCCCACAAGCAAGAGAGAACAGTCGTCCCTTTTGACTCTAAAATTCTGATGAATGACTAGGGCCCAAACCCTGCACCAGAGGAAGCATCCCCTCTGGCAGCTCGAGGCCTCCCCTCTACCCTCACTGATGCTCAGGGAAGGACTTGCTTCTGAAAATCCACGAGCTCTCCCTGCGAGATGGAGGCTGCAGGCTCCGTGCTCCAGGGGGATGCAGATGTTCCAGAATCAGACAGGGCACAGAGAAGCCCCCACCCACCGCCGCCTCTGTGCTTCCGCTTCCTTTACGGCATGCAGAAGAGGAATGGCTCCTGACGTAGTCATTTGCTGAAGGAGGCTTTGCTGGGCATCACCTCCCTGTGAGACACGAGTCTCATTCCCTGAGACTCAACGCGGGGCCTTAGGTCTGTGACTTGAACACAGCTCAGTGCAGTTTGCCTCACACCCGCGTCTGTAACATACATCCAGAGGCTTCGTGCCTCAGGCAGAGGCCTTTAGGATGCCTAGAATGCACACGTCTCTGTGATGTCACCTACACGGGGTGGGGGAGCCAGAGCACTGCTCACTGCTCAAAGGGATTGTGAAGGTCAAGAGACAAGAGGGAAGGAGAGAGCCGTGCACAGCCACGATCGTGTACTGGCTAAGAAGTCAGAGCGCGCAGGGCTCACCCTCGGCCCTCATGCTGGGGAGCACAGCGCATGGCACTTTGTCTGGGGCTCAGAGCCCTGTCTTCCTTCTCAGGGCTGCACAGCCTTCCTCTGGCAGCTGGCTGGGAGCGGGAGGCTAGGAGCTCCTCGGAAAGCTGCAGTAGCAGGAGCACTCTTCCGTGTGTCTTCCCCTTGCTCTTCTCTTTCCTTCCTCCCCGGCCTCTTCAAGGATGGGAAGAGCTGCAGCTCTGAAGGGGGCTGTTTTGCTGACCCCTCCAACACTTGGCAATGTCTGCAGACCTTGGGTGTCACGCTGGGAAGGGGAGGCTGCTTGCAACTAGTAGATAGAGGCCAGGGGTGAATAGCAGTCAGCCCTATGAACCCACCCCACGAGAACGACACAGCCCAAAATGTCAGTGAGTGCCAAGATTCAGGAGCCATGAGCTGGAGAGTAAGTTTCTTAAACTCTGACCCTTTGCCTGGCATCCTATTGCCACCTCGCAGGGAGGTCTGTGCTCAGAAAAGCTGGACCTGCTTCTGCTTGCGCTGTATCTGAGGCCCACAGGGTAGGCTGCCTCACTCTGTCCGTGAGGAAGCTGGGGTCTGGGAGAACTGCTCTGTGCTGGGTGGGCTGCCTGGGTCGGAGCCCGAGGTGCCTGAGGCAAAGGTCCGAAGCCCATGTGGGCCTTCAGCTTGGCCCAGAGCCCTCCTGCTCCCCGACAACCAGGAGAAAAGGCAACTCAGGACCCCACATCAGGGCTGTGTCTCAGCACCTTCACTCTGGTGCATGGTCCCACAGCCTCCACGCCAGTGTCCTCATCTGCCTTAATACTGTCTCCTTCCGGGACAGCAGGCCTCCTGAGCCTCCCCACAGACGCAGGGAAGGCTCGCTTTTCATCACCAGTCAAGTGAAACCCGACTGATAAGACATGCACCCTTCCATCCCCAGCACTGCAAAACACAAAACGAAACCCCAAACCCACCGACTTTATCTTATGAAATCCCAGGCACTCCCAAGACAACACAGGAAAAGCAATTACACGTGGACGGAAATTTTTTCTTAGTTGAGTGTTTTCCTGTCATTATGAAGTTTGTGTTAACTAATACAATTCTGTTTCATTGGTGTCTTTAGGAGAAAATAATTATTTTGAGTTATGAACAGATGTTTTGAGAATATGATGCAATGAACTAGGATTTTTATCTTTTATTTTATAAAAGTTATTAACAGCCCAGATTATTAACAGCAACTTATTCACCCCAATCTAAGCACAAGACAGTACAGGAACTGAAATGAGGAGAAATAACCAATCGCCCTCAGGACAGAGCTAGAGCTTTACAAGTCTTATGCAGAATGACCACGCTCACAAACTAGGAAGGAAAGGCAAATGTGGGGTTGTCTGTTTCTGAGGTAACAGGACTTGAACTCAGGGCCTTTGCACTGAGCCCCTGAGGTCTGAGGGTGGAGCAAAGGAGAATCTTCCTGGCTGGACTCGAACTTGTGATCCTCAGCCTCAGCTTCCCAGAGCGCTGGGCTTACAGGAGTGCGCCCGCCACAACTGACAAAAACTTTTGCTTGAAAGCACCCGGGGAAAGGCAGAATGGCCCTTTGCTGGGTGTCTGGGCAGAGCTGGAGGTGGTGTCCATCCTGCCGTCAGTGCCTCCTGACTGTTTCAGGTAGCCCCTCTGAGCCCGAGGGTTCCTCCACCAGGCCCATGGGATTTTCTCCAGAGCCCAGAAGGTCTGGGAATCAGTGGGGGCGAGCGGGGCTGGTGGGTGTGTGTGTGTGTGTGTGTGTGTGTGTGTAAGGCCAGGAAGTAACTTGTGCTGCTGTGCCTCCAGGGGGCGCCATATCCAACATGTACGCCATGCTGATTGCGCGCTACAAGATGTTCCCCGAGGTCAAGGAGAAGGGCATGGCGGCTGTGCCCAGGCTCATCGCCTTCACTTCGGAGCACGTATGTGTTTCCCTGCTTTCTGGGGTGAGGGCGCATGTGGTAAAGCCTCAGAGGCTGGAGGTGCTCTGTCCTCAGATGCTCTTTTTCCGGAAGGCTCTCCTTGGGTGGAACAGCTGAGTGGTCCTGCAGGTCGTCCTTGACCTGGGCATCTGGAGACACAGCAGGATGGCTTCACCTCTGGTCCCCCTTTGTGTGTTACGAGTGGGGAGGAAGCACAACTGCAAGTGGCTGTCCGCGCCTTGGGCCCACCAGTGCATGCTCTGAAAAGCCAGTTCCCTCATGGTAGAGCCTTATGACTAGAGGTTCAGTGAGATGGTCAGGTAAGTCTTCCACCATCACTGTGCCTGGAGCCGTTTAACCTGAGAACTTCGACTGTGGGCCCAGATTTGTCTCTGGATCACGGATTCCTGACGCTCCCCAGGATGCTGGCCAGGCAGAGGACAAGAGCTCTGGTCTTCCTTGTTGAGCACTGAGACATAGAACTGGATATTTTTTCCTTGGTTTTCAGAGAGCTTGTGCCATTCCTCCCAGTCCTATCCAGACATCTAAAGAAGTAGCCCAGCCTGTTCACCTAACTACACAGTTTTGCTGGCTTTCGCCCTTTGCCAGAGCAAAGCCACAAGCGAGCCACAAACCATCCTGCAACACCGTGGTCCCACTCCCTCCTGCCATACACACACCCACGCAACCAGAGCTCTTGTTCTCTAAAAATTAAAGAATGAATTCTTGGGACAATGGAGGTGAAGAGTAGGAAGATACTTATTAATAGGAAAGCTCGTGAGGGGGCAGCAGGGGACCAGAGTGGGTAGGCGGGAACCCCACTCTATAGTTTCATAGGGTGAAACCCACATGGGTACAACGTGGGCCACAGCCATGAATATTCAATAGAGGTACAAGTTTGGTCACTTAGGTAATTGTGGTTCAGGTGGAAAACAAGTGACGTAACAAGAGTGGACAGAAAGAACAAGGATTCTCCTAGGAAGTGGGGGGTCCAGAGGTCTCTGGTCACCACCAGGGTGGCTGACGTCTATCTAGACTTCATCAGTCCCAGTGTTTGTTCTCAGAGGGAAGTATCCAGTTCTGGTCATCTTGTCTTTATCCTGAAGCCTAGTTTTCTGCCAATGTGTCTCTGGTCACTGCTGTGGTGAGTTTCACCTTTGTCCTGACCTTCTAGAGGACCTAGCCCGATCTGACCGCCTACAATATTTCTGCTTGACTCAGCTGTCCAGTAGTTTGAAACAGCATAGCTTCATTACCTTACACACATGGAGTCCAGGCATCTCTAATGGAATATGCTCTATATGCTCATCCTGGAGCCTCTCAGAGGATCCATTTCCTCCCCTTCAGCTTCAAGAACCTGCCTACATTTCTTAGCTAGTGGCACCTTCCTCCACTTCCCAGCCTAGCCACAGAGCACCTCCAATCTCACAATCAACCCCTGCCACATTTTCCTCCCCTGCATGATTGCACTGGGTATTCTTGAGTAATTCAGGATTATCTCCCATCTCAGTATCTTTAAAATAATCACATCTGTCACGTAACGTAACATATTCATGGCTTTCAGGGATGAGCATATGGCGTCTCTAGCAGTGGGGGAGTCCGTCATTCTGCCTACGATACCTAGTACCACAACTTCCTTTTCTTAGCTTCTTCAAGGGAGGAAATTCATGATATGATTTTTCATCTTGATTACTGTTCCCTTCAAGTGTACCTGGACCCCTCAAATAGTTAAGTGTCACTGTATTTTCAGCCTCAAAAGGTTCAGATGATCTTATGTGGGGCATCTTTTTCTTTTGGCTTCTCAGCTATTTCAAGTTAAAATGAGTTGGCCCAGCAGCAAGCTGTCCCGTGCTCTCTGTGAGTCATCACCGGTTTCTGCTCCAGCTTTCCAGCTCAAGCTTGATGTACACTGATTCGGTGAATGCCAGGCCATGTGATCTGAGAATGATTTTCCTAGACCTTTATTTCCTGATATTGTAAACATGGAGTCCACTTCATTTTTAAGAGAAAGAAAGGCAGTTTGGTTATACAACCATGTGACCCTCCATCCTCCTTCCTCTGTCACCACACACATAGCTATGAATCTGCCCTAAAGCACCACTTGGTTCTAACTATGGGCTTATTTTTCTTTTTTAGTGGTGATACTAAGGAACAAACTCAGGTCCTTGTGCATGCCAAGCACTTGCTCTACCGCTGAGCTACACTTCCAGTCCCCTAGGCTTATGATTTTTGACAAATGTGTATTAAGTTACATTTGATTACTATTTGATAGTCTGCAAAACATTTCCAATATGTATAAACAAATTTGACTTTCACAACCTTGTAAGACAGGTAAAACAGATTGTTGTCAGCAATGTGAAAATGACGTTGCTGAAATTAGCTAAGGAGGAAAAGCCAGGATCATTTTCCTGACTTCTAGAACATTGGGGTCCCTGCTCGGGCCACTGCTGTAGAAACCAAATTAAAAGATTCTACATCAAAGTTTTGTATGCAAGGACTCACTGACTGGCTGAACATGTTATATCTTCCCTAATCAAATTTCTACAATGAGGATTTTTTTCTTAAGGTGAAGATGATACTAAATTATACTTCCTCTTCCAGCCCAAGGGCTGGGCTGCAGAAGTCTTTAACATACCTGTGTCTCCTTGGACACTTAGCTCAAACACTCTGTCCAGTGTAGAAGTAAGTCCTGCCCTTGAAGCTCAAGGTCAAAGTCCTATCACCCCATCTGTACTCCTCCGGGCTCTGGACCTCTGCCCATTATGTTCAGTTTATCATCTAGCTTAGGCCCTTCTGGCTTCAGACCAAGGGGATGTGATGGATATGTCTCCTTTAAGGTCTTTGTTTTTATTTTACAACCACTTCCTCTCCAGAAATAGCTTTCCACGGGTGGAAGATCAGAGATTACCAAGTCGCTTCTCAGTGCCATTTTTCTGGGGTTAGCCACATCAGGGTTTGTGTGGCAGTTTCTTTTCTACAGAAAGCTAGGGTGGTGGAGTGGCCGCTCTATTGGCCCGGTGAGGGGAGGGAACGCAGTGGCTGAGGCAAGCCAGGGGCGATGTCTTTCTTCCTGTTCTTCAAGATGTTTCCTAAATCCATGACTTTTGGAGAAAGCCAGAGAAGAAAACTTGCCTCCATGCCTGAGCTTAGGAAGCTTTATGTAAATCTTAGGTGCCTTTGAAAAATGATCACCTCTCTTTATGGGATGAAGAAACCAAGCCCCAGAGATGGGGGGTACTTTGCCCAGGTTTTACAGCCAGTCATTGGCAGAGCCAGATTTAGAGCCTCGGTTTCCCAAGCACCTAACACTGTTTCCACTACAGGGTTGGAAGATACAGCAGCCCCTGCCCAAGATCTCTTGTAGCATCCTGTCTCCAATCTCACTTTCCGCATGTTGGTTATTCTAGTGCTAAAATAATTTCCTGACCTACCGAAGCTGCTCAAGTTACTCTTATATTCTGAGTTTATACCTTGGTATGTTCAGAACTATGGAAATGATATTGGGAAATGCTGTCATCTGTGGTACCCAGCCAGAAATGTCACACATCAGGAAGGGGAGCATCATCTTTTGTTTTCTAGAGGACCCTCCACTGTTTCTGTTTCACCACAACAGGGTACCTACATCTTTTCTGACCACACAAACAAGGCTGGAGCTTTACATAGCTGATAAGGAAGGCAAGCTATTAAAATTTGTTTGTTTGTTCCAATAGGCTGTTTTCTTGTACATCTTGAATAAGACTAACTTAATATTGCTGTGAATTGCATTAGGAGTAAATAAATCACTGAGCAGAAACAAGAGGAAGCGTTTAATCCACAAGAGTTCCAAGACTACAGGTACTTTGCTCCAAAATACAGAATCACAGAGTCTTGGGACTGCAAGGAATCTTAATGTTCACTGGTCCCACGCTCTTCCTTGAGAGAAAAGCTTGGGAGAAATTAGCCTGATGAATAGGTTTACAGGGAGTCATGATCCTAGCTCAAGAATTTACATCTGTAGCTTTCCATCCTTTGCACACATAAGCTTAATTCCACATGCGCCTTAATTTCTCACGTGTCAAAGCTTTTCCAGAAATAGCTTCCATGAAACAGCCTGATATCATCTAGGAGTCATGTTTGCCGTGACCCTAACAGACAGAAGGCAAGTCACCATAACTCACACACCCCACTTTCCATGCACCAGCTCATGTCCTGTCCACCTCTCCTGGAAGCAGGGAGTGTGTCCTGTTGAGGCCTCCCACGATGCTGGCCCACTTTTACAGAGACTGCTTCAGAAAATGGTGTGCACATACAACTCTGAGTGGGTTTCAGCTTTAAAAGTAAATCCAGTAATGCTATTTTAGACTAGTTGATGATTAGACACAGAAACAGAGTCAGCCAGTCTCTCTGAGGCTCACAAAGCTGTCATTTCCCTCAGCTCTCAGGTTGGATGGGGCATGTAGGACAAGGGGAGCGCTGTTGGTGCTGCAGTCACTGTGGACGTGGGGCTCCGGGGCTTGGGAAGGCTCCCAGAGGCCGATCCCAGCTCGGGCCTAGACTGAGCTTCAAGTTCCAGTTGTTAGAAAGCTCTGCTGTAGAATCATCTCCACTTAACTCTTTTCCTTGGTCCTTCACAGGTGCGTGCGCGCACACACACACACACACACACACACACACACACACACGCCCATTCACTCCACACCCAAAGGAGCACTCGTAGCAATAGTTCAAGTCCATGGACTAGAAAGTAGAATATTTGATGGGAAATTATTAGGGTTAGGAGCTGTGATTCCCAAGCCGGGGTGTTTTTTTGCTTCCTCTATTTGAAGTCTGATTGCTTCTGTCTTCTCCCAAGCAGCGGGTCTGGGTGAAGGGGCCTGTAGCTAGTTCCTGCTTGGGAAGGGTCCCATCTTATGCTTTTGAGGGTGGGCGCCAGGAAGACTTCTGGACTTGCTTTTAGAGTGGCCCCTGGATTAGAGATATTAGGGTTCATTAATCCACCCTTCACTAAAACCACACTTAACAGTGGGATTTGTGTAATTCGAGCACTCAGGAAGCTGAGGCAGGAGAGTTGCCACAAGTTCAAGGCCAGCCTGGGCTATATAGTGAGTTCAAGGCCAGCCTGAACCACATAGTGAGATGTGGACAGTTCTCTGGATTTGTTCCCTGAACACATAGTCAAAAGTTCAACAAGTACTTGTCAGCTATGTACTGTAACAAAGTCTGCCCTCACGCAGCATCCTCTGTTGTAGTAGGGGCAGACAGTACACCAGTAAACACTTGCTGTAACATCTATGGTGAACGAGAGGAGGGAAGCAGTGGGCTGTTCTCCAGGGTGTTCCTGAGTGCTTCTCTGTGGAGGTGACACGTAAGCAGAGACCTGCATCAAATGAGAGAGGAACTGTGTAACTATCCGAGGTAAGGGTTTTCGAGGAAAACAAAGCACAAAGGCTTTGAACTAAAAACAAGTCCAGCAAAGCCAGTGGAGGAGGATGGCCAGAGCCCCTGTCAGAGTGAGCAGAGGTGTGGGAGGGGTCGCGGGGCCGCCGCCCTCCCCTTGGTACCCTCGCACTAGCTGGGCTGCCTCTAAAACCCTGTGGTCCACTGGGCACTTGGACCTGAGTTCAGTTAGGTATTCGGGTACAGTGACGACAGCCTGGGAGAGCTACTGCAGCTTTTCAGACTCTATCTGAATTCTAACAGAGGAAGAGGAACTGGCAAGCTGGGAGACTCTGCGGGTGCCCTGTCATCCAGCTTCCTCTCTCCGCACCCCACGGGAGGCAGAGTTGATCCGCTCCATCAGGAGAAGGGAGCTCGAGCCACAGCCTCCAGTCTTCCGGGCCGAATGGAGTGGCCGAGCGGGGTCCCCTCAGACCGTGGGTGATGTCTTCCACTCAACCTGGATGGAGTTGCTCAGTTTTTAAATGTGGTATTCTATAATTATAAGATCCCATGGGTATGTAAACGTGTATGAAATATAAGCTGAAATGTGAATCCAGTGTTTAGGTTACCTGTATATTTTAAAAGAAATAGGCAATTACTTTGTCCATCAAAGTTGAAATCTTCACTTAGTGTGAAATAAAGGTAACGTGAACTCTAACATCCATTGTCCTTAAATGGGACCATGGTGCAGCCCCAGATAAGCACTGGACTCTATCAAGGGTCTGTTGCTGTTTCCCTGGTCAGGGGAGCAGGCAGAGGATTGCTACTGAGCACTTTTGCAGCCATTCTGTTGATGGACAACAGATTATTTTAGGAGCCTTCGTCGTTTAGAAACATTTGAATCTGTGAAGCCTCTGATTTATGCATAATGTTGCCTTTTGAAGCCACCGGGGCAGTCTCCCTGCCCAGGCCGGCGCTGGCACAGCCTTTCCCACAAAAGGCCGCCTGCACTGCGAGCATCCCAGTGCCTTGCTGGGGGCGGAGCCCTCGGAGCTCTCGCCAGACCCCTGCTCTCCGTCCAGCGGGGTGCTCCTCCCCTGCTCCGTGAACATGGTGCCAGATTCAAACCGAGTCTTCATGCACTGCCTGCCAGCACAGAGACCTGGCGCGTAGGCTGGCAGTAGGATGCCATCCCTTGGGTGCCTTCCTCTCCTCCCACGGGTCCTTTGCTGATTGTTGTTTCTGTTTTGCTACATCTCTGCTCCTGGTCCTGAGGCCACAAACAGACTTGGCTTTCAGCCCCTGGTTTTCTTTTTATGCTCCATGTCCCCTTTGTTCCCTGTCTTTAAGTTTTCTGCTTGGGCTTGTGTTTTTATTAATCTGCTGCATTCAGTGTACTGATCAATTATTGCGGGCAATTGCTCCCTATTCTTTTTCTTTAGCGATCAGACAAAAAAGTCCTCTCACTGAGCAGGTGCAGAGACCTCTTACTCAGCCTGGTTTGCCGTTCTGCCATCGGTGCTAAGATCTCATTCCCAGAGGGACGCGCTCGCTGGGAGCCCCCCCGCCCTGCCCCCTGGAGTCCTGGCCCTGTGTTCCTCTCAACTCCTCCTTGGCACCCTGGCCTCGCTAAAGATGAGAAAGCAATAGCACTGGTTTGGGGTGGGAGGGCCATGCATCTCTTCAAATCCTGACCCAATTAAGCTTTTCCTCCTAGTTCCCAGTTATCCTGGCAACAATTACCCACTTTGTTATTCCTGCTGTAAAATGAGGCTAATGGCTCTTTCTCGTTATGTCTAGCTGCCCTGGGCTTTTAAAATCCCTCCCTTCAAAGTGTCTCCTTTACTGCTTGGTTTTATTTGCTGCTGCTATAAATGTGATTTCTTCTTGCTTATTAGACACACCCCTAAAATACATTAAGAGTTTCCTTTGCTGCATATTTGAGAATACAAATGAGTCAAAAGTGAGCCTTCAAAGAGCAGGTTCTCTCTTCAGACTATGACTTAAAAAGCCCACCAGCGGCCCTTTGCAAATGCAAATTGAGGCAGCAGCTTTCCTTTTGGACAGCTTAATGTTCTGTCGTTAACAGTAGGGCCATGGGCAGATGTGGAACGGCCGGGCTCAGGTTAGCCTTGCTCAGCTCTCCAAATGGCATGGTGATGACGGCCACTGAGAACAGAATCCTGCCCAGAGTCAGTAGCCAAAGCAGGAGGACCGGTGGTGACGTGGCAGTTGGTCTGTTCTCCAGACACAGACTGCCTGTCCTCCCCAGCCAGTGGCTGATGCCTCTTTCTGAGCCTAGGCTGGGTAGTCAGCCGAAAACAAATGTCCACTCCAAGAACTCCGGGGTGGAGAGCGCTGGGTCAGATCCCCCTGCTCCCTTACTTGCTGACAGTTTCCCCCAGCTTGGCAGAAACTGAATGTGCCCATCCCTGGCATCTGAAACTGACTCGGTTACCAGTTGTTCTAGGCTGTCAGACCCAGTTATGATCTCTGACAGTGCTTTCTCTTTCTTCAAAAAGCCAAAAGTTAGCCAAGTGCAGTAACTCATGCCTGTAACCCAACTAGCTGGGAGGCAGAGAGGGGAAGATCACAAGTTCAAGGCCAACCTGGGCAACTTATTGAGAATCTGCCTAAAAAACAGGCCTGGATGTAGCTCTGTGGTCAAGCACTCCTGGGTTTGATCTCTAGTGCAAAAAATGCACACACACACACACACACACACACACACACACACACACAGCCCAAATAACTAGCCCCATTCAAAAATGGTCAGAGGATTCAGATAAACAAAGAAAATGTAAAAATGAGCAACAGGCACATGAAAATGTGTGTTACCATCTCTCATCAGTCAGGAAGATTATGAAAAGAGGCAAAATTATAAACTAGGCATGTTGATACACATCTGTAGTCCTACCTGCTTGGGAGGCTGAGGCAGGAGAATCCCTTGAGCCTGGAGTTTGATGACAGCCTGGGAAAAACTAAAACAAGAAAGAGAGAAAAAGACAAAAGAGACAGGGAAGGGAGGGAGGAAATGATAAACGGTGAGGATGTACAGAAACTGGACCTTTTGTGCCCTGGTGGTGGAAGCTTAAAATGGTATAGAGGTTACAGAGAAGAATGTAGCAGTTCCTCAAAGAGTTAAGAACAGAATACCCACGGGCCAGCACTTCTCCTGGGTACCTGCCCAACAGAAAGCAGTCTTGGCGAAGTACTTGTACACCAGTGTTTTCTGGCAGCACTGTTCACAATGGCCCGATGGTCGGAACTGCCCAAGCGCTGTGGACAGATGTCTAAGCGAACTGTGGCCCACATGTACCCGGAGTATTAGCCTGCCTTCAAAAGGGAGGAAGTTCTGACACGTCCCTGCTGCCCGTGGGTGAACCCTGGCAGTGCTCTGCTAGGTGAAGCAAGACGATCACGAGAGAATGCTGCGTGCTGAGTGACAGAGCAGTCAGCTTCACGGAGGCCGGAGGCCGGGAGTGCCCTGGAGGCTGCCAGGAGCTGCGGGTGGGGTTTTCGTTTGAGGAGGGGAGTTTTAGCCTCACAGGTGAAAAGAGTTCTGGAGATGGATGAGGCTTAATGATTGCAAACAGTGTGAATCGGGTCAGGCCCGGGAGGGATTGTGCTTTAGGTGTTTGCAGTGGTGTTTACATTATGTGTTTTTAAGTTATGTGTCTTTCAACACAGTTATTTCTCAAAACATCAGTACGATATGCTGTTCTCGCAGCTCGGGCTTGGAGCTACAGACTAGAGATAGCGGGAGGAAAATGACGACAGCGGAGAGGATGGATCTTGTGTCTGTGTGACTCTAATCACAAGTATGTTTTTTGTTTACAGAGTCATTTTTCTCTCAAAAAGGGAGCTGCAGCCCTGGGGATCGGAACGGACAGCGTGATTCTGGTCAAGTGTGACGAGAGGTGAGCACAGCGCGGCCTTGTGCGTTCGCAGTTTGCACGTTCACGGGAGCTCACACGTCCGGCCGGTCGGCGAACGGGCACCGCGGCCTCCCTCGCAGCCCGGGCCTCCGCCGACCCTTTCCACCCCGCTCTCCGAGCAGGCGCGGGTGTCGTCGGGGCCCTGGAGCCTCTCACGGCTCTCCATTGAGTGGAGCCGTGGTGCGATCAGTGAGAACGTTCTCCACCGAGGTGAGCAGGGGGACTTCCGTCCCTCGCACTTCGCAGCAGCAGGCGGCGGGGCCCTGGTTATGAGATTTTATCCCCAGAGGCAGCGTGATGACTGCAAACGTAAGGGAGCGGTAAGAGAACGGACGGCTCAGTGAGCAGGGCAGGAGTAGAGGAGCAGGGCGGGTTCCTTGGCCTGTGGGGTTGACAGCTCTGAAAGCCCAGAGGCTGGGTCCCTAGATCCCTAACCTTGTGTACCTCTGAGTGTGGAGTTGAAGAGGACTGTCACTTTCTTTCTGTTTGCGCCTGTATATGTGTCCCGATTGTGTATGTGAGCAAGGGATACATATTTTACAGTCCGGGAAAAAGCCACACCACTCCTTTGGGGATAGGATGGCTGCACTTCGCGTTTGACCCTAACAGATCTGGACACAAAGTAACCTGAAAGCACTTTTATCCAGGTAGAGTGCGAATGAGGAATACCTTTCCCTGTAAGGAATACGCAGGGGGTGTCTCTGGTCATTCACTAGACCGGGTGAGGGGATCTAGCAGCAAGCTGAGCGTGATGTGACAGATGACTGGCGGAGAGGTGAGGCACTGGCAAAAGGAGCGCTCTTGTTTTTAATTACCAGGGTTCCTACTTCACTGAGGTTTGAGGAGAAACTGGCAAAAAAACCTTACTAGTTTTCTTTTTATCCTCTATTGTATTCATAGACTAAATTGCTCAAAAGAAACCTATTGCTAAAAAGAAAGCGGCAGAAAATCTAGAAGAACAGTTTCGGTGCCTTTACGCTTTCGAATCTCCACCCTAGACACGGGGAGGTCATGACGCAGACCCTGCACTCACCCTCCTTGCTCTTCCTTCACCTGGTGAGCAGGTGCTCGGGAGCTGGGTTCCAGTGGGCCGGAAGGTGACCAGGAAGAATGGGGTTTTTCTCTTTCTGTTCGTGACAATTGCAGGAAAATATAGGAAACAAGGAAGAAGAGCGGAAACAGGAAAGAAATAAAAGGGGCAGACCTGAGAGGGAACTGAGAGGCAAAGCAATGGGAGGACACGTACGGGGACACGTGGGTGAAAGCAGGAACCAAAGGAGAGCTCTCGCAGGAATAAGGGACAGTTTTCGTCATCCAAAAGCGCGCACTTGCTTGGAAACAGTCAAAAATAAGAGGAAAAAATACAGCTTCACCACCACAGGGTAACTAAACCTTGGAATCTCTTTTGCTAAACATAAAGGTTTGTTCGTTCCTTTTAATATTTTTGTTTTTTCTTTATACATTCATGATTTTATTTATTTTTCTTACTAGACAGGCTAGCATATTGTCCTCTGTTCTTACACACAAACATACTTGCCAGAAAGGTCAGAAAGCATCTTAGTGCTTCACAGAACTGCAGTTGGACTGTTTGGTTTCAAATCTCAGCTCCAGCACTTTTAGCAAATGCCTCTTTGTGCCTCAGTTTCTATATCTGAAAATAGTAAAAAAGTAAGGGCACCTCCTTCACAGGACTGTCGCAATGACAAATGTAAAATGCTGAAAATGATACCTAGCATAGGGTAAGTACAAAGTATTAGTATGTTGCGATACGTTTCTCTTTTCTGGCATTGCTGTTATAAAGAACCTTTCCACCCTTCGGCAGATACCCTTACGTGTGCATGACTGCTCCGGCTATAATTACTTCTTTATATCAGTAGGAACCTAAATTGTGTGGGCATTTTTGAAAAACAGGATGTCAGTTACCTTTTAAAAGCTTCTATCAGTTTATTCTCCAAGTGCTGTTGTATCCGAAAACATTGAGAACATAGTAAAGCTATGCTAGTATCTTTAATTCTTTAACACTACATTGATAGTTCGTATAATCAGTATGATATTAAGTTGAGATTCTGGACTTGATGGTTTAAGTGAAATTGAAGTGTCTGGGGTCAGGAGCCACGACGAGGTCTTGGACAAACGCAGTCACCATTCCAGTGACACTCAAAAACCACTGTTGGCAGCCATTTTGTTATTACCTCCTTGAGAAAATCAGATGTGCAGTCCAACAAAACCGCTTACAGTGATTTTACAGTCTTGTTTCCCCTAATGTGCTCTGTACAGTTCATCCAGACTTCACCAAACACAAACTTGGACCTGCCCTTGAAGGCTGTCATTTCTTGTACTCTTTCCGGCCTTGCACATTAGTTTGACAGTGGGTGAAGTGATGGAGCTTATGCTGTTCTCTGGTAGAAATTTCCGAATGAAGGGAAACTTTCTAGTGAAAGAGAAGAGTCACCCTTTTTAGCACCGAGCCCAAGAGCCCCATGTGATGGATGAACGATACCATGAGATATTCCCCCTTAGTTAGTGATCCCAGGGGCCTACTTTGGTGACCCGTTTAAGTGGAACATGGTTCTCAAATAAAACAGAGAGAAAAAATCTATAATGAATCTTCATTTGTTTAGACTAGATTCTCTCAGAGTTGAAAAGTAAAAATCATTTTAATTAAATTTTTCCTCACTAAGTTTATCTGTACATTTTAGGGATACAGTACAGTTGCATTCATCATTGGGATCTTGTACCTTTACCTGACTTATCAGGTTCTTGTTTTTCCCCATTCCCCGGTCCTCCCTTCACCCCCTCCACCCTTCCCTATTTACAAAGACTTTCTTTCCATGTTTTTCCTTTTCTCTTATTTTTTCTTTCCCTTCTTTCCTTTCTCCTACCCTTCCCACATCCCCTACTCCTTAAGCCCTTTTCTTCCTGTTACACAATATCAAATATACACTTTGATCCTTATTTACACTTTTAGTTTTTCACACCATAGAAACTACTTATTTATACATGTGTGTCCTATTTGTTTCACTTAAGAGCATGGCCTTAATGTGCATCCACTTAGCTATAAATGTCTCTAGCTTCTCATTCTTTATGTCTGAGTAGTACTTCATTTTATAGAAAACCACATCTTTAAATTTTAATATATATTCTAACGATTGGAATAAAATATGATAATGCAAGACTTTAGCTCACCATGACTTACATTTTAGCAACAAATATCATAACTACAAGAGTATTACATATTTTTCTCATTTCTTAATAAATTCAAAAGGGGAATGAAACCCTGATTTCATACATCCTAGTTTAAGAGTTGTGTTTCATTTTTAGCAAAAAATTGAGTGTTTGCAGTAGTGGCGTAATTTTTTTTTACTCCAGTGGCATTGGATCTGATATTTCAAATTAGTGGAATTTAAATTAATGTGTTGATGTGTCCAAAGAGAGAGAAGAAACGTGAATTAATATTTAGAGAAAAATAAGTATTTGTGAAAGAAAATTGAATTTCCAAAGAATTGTATTAAGCCACCAAGGAAAAGGATGTTTCCCAAATAGAGGGAAAAGAAAATATGTCTCACATGGATAATAATTTAGAAAAATAGGAAGTTCTTATAGAATGGGCACAGGATGGTGTGAGCCTGTGGCAGTGGCCTCCACTGGGGGCCCAGTCACACGCACCTGAAAGCTTAGTGTATGTGAAACCAGCCACATACACGAGAGAGATAAACATAGTAGCGGGAAGACAGCTCCCTCCTGGTGATCATTAACCCCACATCTGGAGCAAGGACGGGGACAGTGGCCAAAGAGAAAGGAGTGTTTGGGGCAGAGACCACGGACAGAACAAAGAGCTTGGCTCGCTCGAGAAGCAGGGCGGACTGGACTTCTGGCTGAAGGGCTTTCGGGGCCAGCATCACAGGTCTGCACTCGGAAGATCACTTTAAATTCAGGGCGCTGTGTGAGTTAGACGCCGGTGCTGCTGCCTGTCACAGTACCAAGCAAGGGACGCTGGGAGCCGAGCGGTGGGAGAGCAGCGGGCACGGAGGGCTGAGGTCCACAGCAAGTGGAGGCTGAGTGGTGATCAGGGTGGGAGAGCAGCCCAGCAGGAATGGCAGCCTCTGGCTTGGCCGCCAGGTTGGCACGGTGCTGCCCTCTGAGTCAAATCCACCTCGACTGACGAAGACGGTTCAGACACAGAGATGCAGCGTGTGTGGTGCATTCGAGTGAGGGTGGTGAAGGGTGCTGAGATGGGCCTGGAGTTCGGCAGCCGTGGGCCTGAGGGGACACTGAGGAGGGCCGTGTTTCAGGGACAGGAAGAGCGGAGGCTGCGCAGGAAGCTGGGAAGAAGCAGCCCGAGTTGGAGGAGACTCAGGAAGTGGCGCCGTGAGGCCCTCAGGGAGGAGCGCCGCGGAGTGCTGCCCTGACACAGGCTGGTGAGGATGGCGAGGAGAGTTTCAGCGCAGGGTGAGGGCAGGAGGCAGTTAGCAGTGGGCTGGTGGGTGAGTGCAGACTACATGGCTGGGAGGTGGAACGGGAAGGCGGGAGGTAGGCAGAAGCAGAGGGCGTTGAATCCAGGCTGAGGTGGGTTTTCTTGGGTTTTGACTCTTGTTTGTATTGACAGGGCAGAAGCTGGAGAGGTGCGTTGAATCCAAGATGATTTTTTGGGTTTTGTTCGTTTTTATTTAATATTTATGTAAATATTAACTGAACATTTACTCTGTATAAAGTTATAGGCCCTGTGGAAAATACAAACGTTAACGATGCTCCATTCTTTTTCTCAATGACATTGTATCTGACTCGGAAATAATGTGTAGTCATAAATTACATTTAATAAATTAGTAAATAAGATAGCTCAGGAGTAGACGCAAATATCAATGATGAACTTATTTTTAAAGGTTTTATTTTAATCGCATACATTTTCAGGGTATGGCGTCACACTGAGATGCACATAGGGTGTGTTTTCAGGATGAGCCTTGGGAGAGGTAGGGGCTGGGCCC